ACGACAACGGACAATCACTCATATGATAAGCTCCGCTCGACAAAGTTGACAGTGGAGCTAAAAATAGATGAATGTTCACATGTTTTAAAGATCCACTAAATGCTAGATATGCATTCACACACATGCTATATGGGATACTGCTTGATATATTTGTATATACAATGTATGTACTTGTGTCAATGGAATAGTGCTGCCCAGTGTAGATTGAACAAAACAAAAAAAGTTGCAAGCCATCTTGCGAACTGACTGTCTCAATAATTCTACTGTAAACCTCTTTATACATGTATGCGAATTTTGTCATGCACTTTTGATCACTTCAAATTGCAATAAGTTCAATTTGAGTGAATACTGTAAAACATGTCTTTTTCGCGAGCATGCCTTTTTCGCGAATTTAGCGAGAGAACTGATTCGCTAATTCAAGATGTCGCTAATGACTTTATTATAAATTCAAAATGGCCACCAAACAAAGAAATCAACAATGACAAGAGAGATTCGCTAAATCAACATTTTGCTATTACGTCATTTTACCACAATTCGCTAAAATTGCATGGCGCTTTTTACAGTACAGTATATTATTATTATTTGCAACACATTATCCTGGATTAAAGTTGAGATACAATTACCGGTATTACATTTAACATCACAGAGGGGATGAGTAACGAATATATACTCAATTTGCACACACAGGCTTATTATATTTGCTCCATTAGAAGTGCACATTTATATAAGCACTTATGTGAAATATAGAAATTTTTCTATGATCAAAATATATAATAATTTAATCATTCTATATACAGCTAATGCGATTTTTGGTTTATATGTCATCTTTGTGCAAATCTAAGAATGTGATTGGTCTGGGCAAGTCAGAGAGCAAATGATCAAAAAGATATTAATACTTCATTTTCGCTGGAATTAATTTTCGCTGAAAAGACTTGTTGGGCATTTTGTATGGAATTTGTTTTCACTGATCTTTGATGAGTTTAATGTGAAATATAGGAAAAAAAGTATATTCGCTGAATTTTATTTTCACAGAATCATCCCTTCAGCGAAAATAGCGAAAATTAATTCCAAGCGAAAATAAAGTATTCTACAGTATTTGATCTATTACAAGAACATCTTCAATAGAAGAACCCTCAAACTAAATACTGTAAAATCTTTGCCTTGGAATTAATTTTGGTTGAAGGAATGATTCAGTGAAAATAAAATCCAGCGAATATACCTTTTTTCACATATTTTCCATTCAACTCGTTAAAAATCAGTGAAAATCAATTCCATACAAAACACCCAAAAAGCGGTAATTTAATTCCAATTAAATTAAATATTCTACAATAGTGCATTTATTGTATACCTTTTCATTAAAATATGACTAACTTTGACCTAAGATACAACTATGTCATTTTATTGACAAATGTAATGCGCTAATAGAACGAACAGCATAGCTTACTTTTAGTGTTTAAAAATAATAACAGGAACTCAATCAACAATTATAGCAAGAAATATTACCTGTATTGTGGCCTCATGAAATTTACAAAGTTGTTCCATTCCTCCAAGTCTCCATCCGCCATCTTGACTTACATAGATAGAAGACGTGTATACATTATTATGGGAAACACCTCCCTGTCAGCAGAAATAGGAGACATGTATAAGAAATAGCTCACTGTAAACAGGAAGTATAATATATATTTGATGCCGACACAGTAAATTTCCATTCATGTATTTCTGTTTCCACGCATGTATGTACTTACAATACTGTAGAATACTTTATTTTCGCTTGGAATTTATTTTCGCTATTTTCGCTGAACGGATGATTCCGTGAAAATAAAATCCAGCGAATATACTTTTTTTCCTATATTTCACATTAAACTCATGAAAAATCAGTGAAAATAAATTCCAAGCAAAACGCCCAAAAAGCCTTTTCAGTGAAAATTAATTCCAGCGAAAATAAAGTATTCCACAGTAGCTACGTTAACATTACATGATTTCAGCACATGTTGAATATTTTCAATCCTTCATGTTTGAAAAGAGATTACAGCAGTTGTGTTCATGTTAATTGTATCTGGACTCACTTTGGGCCCAGTGGGTTCTACCATAATCGTACCCTTGTTTGTCAATCTGTTGACCCCAGCATGGTGGTACACATGTTCTGCACGTGTATCTGATGCCAATTGTTATGATATTCATTATTAACAATCACACAAAAAAGCAGCAAAGAAAAATTCAAAGAACAACTATTTTTCATATCAATGTAGCACTGCACGAAGAAATTGATCGCAGTATAAATATTCACTGTCCAATGTCTACATTGATTTTGTTCATGGCGAGAGTTCAGACAGCATATTTTGACAAGTGCCAAAATTAGGTTTGATATTTTTCGCCATGTGCCGACTCAGTCCTGACAGTTTTCGCACACATTTTGGCACATGTACACTCAGCCCCCAACGTGTGTATGTCACTATTTTAGCATAAATAATACTGTATTTACTCTATCAATAGTACCGGTAAATAACAGGAATGTAGCTTTGGTCAAAATAGGGTGTATTAAAATAATCAGTATATCAATTTGCTCCAAATGCAGCACATAACCAACAACCACATTTGTTGTATTCTATTATAAAATATTACTTATTTTGATCAAACATTGTAGACACACCTCTGT